AGGGCGTGGTGTGCCGACGGGGGCTGGGCGACCCCGTGGGCCGGCTGGGGGCTGCCGCGGATGGGGGGAAGTTGCTGTGGGCGGGGGGGTTGCTATGGCAGGGGGACTTCTGTGAATATAAAGGCTGCTGACATGGGCGTGGGGACTTTTGAGTGCGTGGAGATGGGGATTGCCGAGGGCGTGGGAGCTGGCGTGCGCGGGCGTGATCGTCAGGCTGAGATGACTGGTGGAGGCGGCGGCGAGTGGGCGAGCTCCCGTAAATGGGCGGCGACCGGGGAGTGCGAGAGGTGGGGGGAGTAAGGGCTGGTGGCTCGTGGGCGCTGGCCGGGGAGTGCGTGCGGGCGTGGGAGAGGGACGGCGAGGGAGAGGACACGGGCGGGGAGGACACGGGCGTGGTTTCAGCCGGCCTGCTGAGCACGGGGTAGAGATAGGGGTACAGAGGCAGGCGCGAGTACGGGGACGAGGGGCTGGCCAGCGCCGTGCCCGCGTGCAGGAAGAACGGGGACAGCGCCCCCAGCTTCGGGTACAGCTGGAAGGGCGCCGGGGGCCTCCGCGGGTCCAGGGGCGACTCCAGGAATTGTCCGACGCCTGGGACTCGGGGCTGCTGAGGGCGGGCGAGTCGCGGTCCTCCTCCTTGATGAGCACTCGCGGCTCCTCCTCGGCGTCTCCGGCCTTCCGAGGGGAGTCCTGCGCGGGCGAGGGGCCCTGCGAGGCCAGGCCCTGCAGCGCCCGCTTGGCCTCCTGCACGGCCAGGGTGCCCGGGGACGCGTGCTCCGTCGGGGAGGTCAGCGACACCTGCTCCTGGAGAAGGCAGTGGATCTTGAACCAGTTGGAGCGACGCCCGTACCTGCAGAAGGAGGGAAGGAATGAGGACGGCGGGTGGAGGAGCGTCGAGGACGAAGAGAAAGAAAGAGAAAATAAAAGAAGAGGAGATGGAGGAGGAGATGAATGGGAGATGGAGAGGAGAAAGAGATGGATGGGAGATGGAGAGGAGAAGGAGGGAATGGGAGACTGGATGGGAGGAGGAGGAAGGAGATGAGAAAGAGAGAAGAACAATGAATGAGGAGGAGGAAAGTTGAGACAAGAGGAAGAAAAAATGAAGGAGAGAAGATGAAGGCTTGAACTATATACTCAGATCAAATAAAGACAGAAAGAAAGAAAGAAAAAAGAAAGAAAGATGACTTTACACTGAAATATAGAGAGAGGAAGAAAGGAAACCGATAAACAGAAAATTGAAGAGGAAAGTATAAATACAAACAACATATCACGACATATCATATGATATTTACAGGTATATGCTATTAATGATATTACTCTCCGTATTTACGAAAATATGTATTCCATGACTTGATAAATCTGAAAAAAGTCATAGTGAATATAGACTTACTTCTACCAATATGTAATTAACAAGTGACTCAGAATAAGCGTAACAGTAGAGTGAAGCCGAGAGTAAGAGTGAAGGCGAGTGTGAAAATTAGAATGATCTTGAGAGTAAAAGTAGAAAGGATAGATAGATAGAGATAGGATAGATAGAGAGAGAGGAGAGAGAGAGAGAGGAGAGAGAGAGAGGAGAGCGGGAGAGAGAAGAGAGAGGAGAGAAGAGGGAGGAGAGAGGAGGAGAATGAGAAGAGATAGATAGTAGAGAGATAGATTAGATAGATAGGAGGAGAGGAGAGAGATAGAGAGGAGAGAGAGAGAGAGAGAGAGAGAGAGAAGAGAATGAGAGAGAGAGAGAGAGAGAGAGAGAGAGAGAGAGAGAGAGAGAGAGAGAGAGAGAGAGAGAGAGAGATGAGAAGAGAGAGAGAGAGATAGAGAGAGAGAGAGAGAGAGAAGATAGAAGATAGATAGAGAGAGAGAGAGGAGAGAGAGGAGAGAGAGAGAGAGAGAGAGAGAGAGAGAGAGAGGAAAGAGAGAAATAAGGTAAAGAGAAAGATAACAAAATGGGAATGAGAAAGAGAAGAGAGGGCAAAAGAGAGAGAGAAACCAAGGAAGAAAGAAGCAAGAGAGAAGCGAAGAGGGAGAGAAAGAGAGAAGAGACGCTCGAAAGAGAGGCCAGAGAGAGAGAGAGAGACCGAACCGAGAGCGAGAGAGAGACGAGGGCGCCTACCTGGAGCCGCTCTTGGACATGCCACGAGCAGGCACTTGCGCAGGCGGCAGGCCTTGCAGGCTGTTGCGGTTCTTCTTTTTGTGATGACGCAGCGGCCCCGCCGTTCTTGCACTCGCCCAGAGACGGACACGTTGTACGTCCGCCCGAAGAACGACTGGGGGAGAGGGGGGTCAGAACGGCTCGTGGCGTTGGAAAGGATTAGGAATGTTATACTGAATGAGGGGAAGGGCGGTTAGAACGGCTCGTGGTGTTGGAAATGATTAGGAATGTTATATTGAATGGGAAGGGGGGGAGAGAGGCGTTAGAATGATTTAGAAAATGTTATAATGCATGGAAGGGTGGGGGGAGAGGGGGCGGTCAGAACGGGCTCGTGGCGTTGGAGAGGATTAGGAATGTTATATTGAATGAGGGGAGGGCGGTTAGAACGGCTCGTGGTGTTGGTTGGAAATGATTAGGAATGTTATATTGAATGGGAAGAGGGGGGGGGGGAGTGGCGTTAGAATGATTAGAAAATGTTTATACTGAAGGGGGGGGGGAGGGGCGGTCCAGAACGGCTCGTGGCGTTGGAAAGGATTAGGAATGTTATATTGAATGGCAAGGGGGGGGAGGAGGCGTTAGAATGATTAGAAAAATTGTTACTGAAGGGGGGGGGGGAGGGGCGGTCAGAACGGCTCGGGTGTTGGAAAGGATTAGGAATGTTATATTGAATGGGAAAGGGGGGGTGGGGAGTGGCGTTAGAATGATTAGAAAATGTTATACTGCATGGGAAGGTGTGGGGGGAAGAGAGGGGCGGTCAGAACGGCTCGTGGTGTTGTGGAAAGGATTAGGAATGTTATATTGAATGGGAAGGGGGGGGGGGGAGTGCGTTAGAATTGATTAGAAAATGTTTATACTGCATGGGAAAAGGGTGGGGGAGAGGGGGCGGTCAGAACGGCTCGTGGTGTTGGAAAAGGATTAGGAATGTTATATTGAATGGGAGGGGGGGGGGGGGGAGAGGCATGAGAATGATTAGAAAATGTTATACTGAATGGAAAGGGGGGGGGGAGAGAGGGGGCGGTCAGAACGGCTCGTGGTGTTGGAAAGGATTGGAATGTTATATTGAATGGGAAGAGGGGGGGAGAGGCATGAGAATGATTAGAAAATGTTATACTGAATCGTTAGAACGGCTCGTGGCGTTGGAAAGGCTTAGAAAATGTTATATTGAATGGGAAGGGGGGGGGGGAGGCGTTAGAATTGCTCGTAGTCTTTGAAATGATTAGAAATGTTATGCTGAATCGGAAGCGGGGGGGGGGGGGGAGAGGGCGGTTTAGAACGGCCTGCGGTGTTAGAAATGATCAGAAATTCATATTGACGAGGGGAAGGGGGGGGGCGCGGGTAGAACGGCCCGGGTGTTAGAAAGGAAAAATATCATATTAAAGGGGGGGGAGGGAGGGTTTAGAACGGCTGGAACCTATAGAAGAACTTATAAGGAATGGTAAAATGACTGGGGGAGATTAGGATTAGGGGAAGTTATGTCATCGGAAGGGGGGGGGGGTGCGGGGGGTTAGAACGACGATTGGTGTTTAGAAGAACCGGTTAAAGCATGTTATAAAATGGTGGGGAGGGGGAGGGGGGGAGGCTGGCGGTTAGAAGAACAAGTTGGGAATAGATCGACTGCTGGGGGGTGGGGGTGGGGTGGAGGGGCTTATGCTGTTAGAAGAAATGATTAGAAATGTCATAACGATTCGGAAAGGGGAAGGGGGGTGGAGGGGGGAGGGGGGCTAGTATAGAACGGGTTATGCAGTTAGAAGAACTGACTAGGAAATGTTATAACGGCTGCGGGGAGAGAACAATTTGGAACTGATTCGAAATGTTATTAGTGTTCAATGCATTAATTAAAACGCTAATGATACCGATGTCCGTTATAAGCGTGGGTTTTCTTAAACGGAATAGCGTTACCTATAATATCTTTTAGGTAATCAAAGGAATTTTTGGTATTTTAGCATTTAGCCTAGAAATCCTGGGGTTATTGCTTTGTTATTATTTTTGTTATTGATGTTATTGAGAGAAAGAATGCCTTATAAGGCTACTGGCTACATATATTATAAGAGAAAGAAAGAAAGAAAATATATACAACTCTTACAACCATGTTATGAAGTCTTGTACATAAATATCATTTCAAACTGACAGTATCTTAATGGTAAAAACATCTGTCTACAGTTGAGAATACTTAAATAAAATAAAGAAAAAAAATAAAGAAAAAAAATAAAGAAAGAAAAAATAAAGAAAAAAAAATAAAGAAAGAAAAAAAAATAAAGAAAAAATAAATAAATAAAGAAAAAATGTTTGTGGTTTAATGCCGCCCTTGATGTTATAGAATAATAGATAATAACACGTATCATTCGTTACTGATGTTAAAAATGTTATTGCTAGTATTGTTCGCGTTTTCATCATCCTTGTTATAGCTCAAATAAAACTACATTTCGTTCCTGAACAATCGTGACTAATGCGACATCATCATCTTTTTTTTAGCAATGAAAATATGAGAGAAAATACATGATTAGCTCTAATTTGCTCCGCTGTATTTCTTTGGTGTATTTGGGGAAGAAATACAATAACGAATGGAAATCAGGAAACCGTGACCTCCATTAGCACACACACACACGCACACAGACACGCACACACAAACACGCACACGCACACAGGCACACAAACACAGATACAGGCACACAAACACACACACACACACACAAAGGCACGCACAAACACAGACACAGACACACACACACACAACACATACACACACACACACAACACACACACACACACACACAGCACACAGGCACACACACACAGAGACACAGGCACACAAACACACAGGCACACACAAATACAGACACACATACACAGACACACACACACACACACAGACACACACACAAACACAAACACACACACGCACAAACACACACACAGATACACACACACACAAACACATACACACACAGGCACACACAAACACAGGCACATACACACATACGCAGACACAAACACACAAACACACACATACACAGACACACAGGCACACACACACACACAAACACAGACACAGGCACACAAACACACAGACACACACAAAGGCACGCACAAACACAGACACAAGCACACACACATACACAGACACACACACAGACACGTACACATACACACACACACACACAAACACACACACACAAACACATACACAGACACACACACACAAACACACACAGAGATTCCGACACACAATTATCTATTAAGTCATCTGTATAAATCTCCTGCGAAACGTTCCTGCAGTAAGTGGATAAACGAGGTCATTCTCTATATAGGTATGAATAAATGATAATCATAACAATGCAACAAAGAAGAGATCCACCAATCAGAGCACGGGAGCGCGAAACAATAAACACAGGAAGAAGAAAACAAAAGACGATCGCGAGCACCTTGAAGAAGGGTCGAGCAAGCACGTGGAGGACTTGATTCCACAACCTGGCCTTGTGGACTATAAACACTGAGCCCCAACAAGGGATTGAGAGCGAGCTGAAACGCTTTACCTCGTCCTTTTGTAAACATATTACTTATAACTTCATAAAATATACACCTTTTTCACACCACGTGTCACTATTAAGTTATCAAAATAAGCTCCCCTTTTTACGGGATATCTAATTGTACTTATGCATAAACAAACAGCCAAATTGCTCTGATTATAGTACGTAATAAGGCACATAATTACAGGTTTGCGGTATGGCGGTCGGGGCCATAACATCGCCTCACAAAAATGGCGGGCTTTTTAAACTGTTTTGTTATGCAACCAAATATCACCGGGACTCTATTGTTTGACATGGGTGGCTTGAAAGGTTTACGCTCCGTGTGGTTTCGTATTTTCACGCTCTCATTGCGAAGTGCTTGAGGGGATGAGACGGGGAAGAGAGAAAAAATAATATCAGAATGGAAAGGGAAACGAAGGGAAAGGAAAAGAATACGGACCTAAAGTATACGGCCTTAAGTTTGAGAAATTTTATTTACGTCTGAATCATCTATAGTTTTCAAAATATGTTGCAGTTTTATTTACACCTAAAGTATATATATATATTTCTTAAAGTATGTTGAAGTATATATATATTTCTTAAAGTATGTTGCAATCTTATTTACACCTAAAGTATATATATATATATATATTTCTTAAAGTATGTTGCAATCTTATTTATACCTAAAGTATATATATATATTTCTTAAAGTATGTTGCAATCTTATTTATACCTAAAGTATATATATATATATTTCTTAAAGTATGTTGCAATCTTATTTACACCTAAAAATAAACATATTTCTTAAAAGTATGTTGCAATCTTATTTACACCTAAAAACAAACATATTTCTTAAAGTATGTTGGAATCTTATTTACACCTAAAAATAAACATACTTCTTAAAAGTATGTTGGAATCACATTTGCACCCAAAGTAAATAAACATCTTAAAGTATATTGGGCCTTCAGAAAGCTCTTCCACTCAGCACACATGGCCACATAAGCTCTAAAATCTTGAGCTAAAAGCGTAACCGCAAGTGTGAGACAAAACGGCGGCCGGCAAGGTCACGCAAAACCTCTTAAGTGAACAAAAATACGAAAATGCTCGTCGCCATCTCTCTCCTTGGACGTCAAAAGACTGTCAAGACTTTCGGGAGAGAGAGAAAAAAAACAAAAACAAAAAAACTTGCGACGAAGAAAACGAACACCTCGAATTATGCTCGAGAAGCGGTCAGTGATTTTTTTTTTTGTTTTGTTTTGTTTTGTTTGGAAAGAGGTTTTCTTTGCTTCCTTTTCCTTTCTTGAGGGTGGGGGTGGGGGTGGGGGGGGGAGGGGTAGGGGGGTGTTGTTTCATCGTCCTTCATTCTGTGTGAATTGTGCGAGAGAGAGATGGCGAGATGCTCTCTTTCTCTCTTCTCTCTCTTCTAGCGTCTCTCTCTTCTCTTTCTCTCACTCACTCACTCTCTCTCTCCTCTTTCTCACTCACTCTCTCTCTCTCTCTCTCTTCTCGTCTCTCTCTCTCTCTTCATCTCACTCACTCACTTCTCTCTCTTCTCTTCTAGCTCTCTCTCTTTTCTCATTCACTCACTCACTCACTCTCTCTCTCTCTCTCTCTTCTAGCTCTCTCTCTCTCTTTCTAGCGTCTCTCTCTCTCTTCTAGCTCTCTCTCTCTCTCTCTCCTCACTCGCTCTCTCTCTCTCTCTCTCTCTCTCTCTCTTCTAGCGTCTCTCTCTCTCTCTTCTCTTTCAGTCTGAAACAAAGCAAAGAGAAAATCCGAAAAGGGAACAGCGCGAGCGAGGAAAAGGAACGAAAAGACAGCGACGGCAAGCCAAGACGTACCGGCCGCCATCTTGCGGTCTGGAAAAGCGCCGAAAAACCGTCTCGAAAAAGAGAAAAAAAAAAATCCTCTACTGACCAATGGCGGAACAATCATCCTTTTTATTTTTATTATTTTTTTATTTATTTTATTATTTATTTTTATTTTATTTTATTTATTTATTATTATGTTATTATTATAATAACAGTTTAAAGAGAGAGAAAAAAAAATCCTCCACTGACGGAACAAATCCCCCCTTTTTTTTTATCCAATGCTGAAATTTACCCGTCGGTACGAATGCTAACAAGCCCGGCAAATTAAAACCAAGCAGCATACTCAGCCAACAGACGCCAAGAGAACAGCAAACAGTGACACTACAAGTTCCTTTGTTTGGCGTAGAAAAGTAGACATGAACTACGCGCCCCCTCGCCATCTGCCTGACTGAGCCGCTGGCCGACGTTCCCGCCCTTTTATTAGGTTAAAGGCGGCTCTTCTGATGACCGGCTCTCCCCCCTTCTGCGTCTTTCGTCGAAATGTTGGGAGTGATGATTGTAGGGATATGAATAGGGAGGTGGTGGAGAATGGAGTGCATGGAGAGGGGGGGAGGGGGAGGGGAGGGGAATGGAGGTGGTGAGATTGGTGGAGGTGGGAGGGGAGGGGGAGGAGGGGAGGGGAGGGAGAGGTGGAGAAAGAAGAGGGGAGGGGGCGTGGGAGAGGTGGGTAAGCAGGAGGTGGAGGAGAAGCAGAAGAAGAAAGAATGGAGGAGGAGGCGCGCGGGTGCACCCGGGGCGCGTGATGGCTTCATGATTAGCAGCGAACTTTGTGCAGTCAGTGATGTTGGCATGCTCTCTCCTCAGCTTGGCATAAGTGCGGCGTACCTCGAGGTACGATCTCGGTGCGGAGGTGGAGCCTGTGGTGGGGAGTAGGCTCGTCTTGTCGGAGGTGTTCTCATCGATTTCGTATTATAAGAGGACCGTCCGGAAATCGTTAGGTAATACGGCCTCGCAAGTCGGCACGCGACGGTTAGCGATGCGAACGCTACGGAGTGAGAGTGCAAGAAAGAACGGCGAAAGAAAAGAGGAGCGAGGAGGATGTAGGGAATGTGAAGATGTGAAGGTGGAGAGAATGGAGATAGAAGGTGGAAAAGAGATAGAAGTGGAAAAAAGAAGTAAGACATAAGATAAAGGAGAAAAGTAATACAAGAAAGAAATATGAAGAAAGAAGGAAGACACGAGATGAAAAACGGCGAAAAAAGATAAGAGACAGAGGACAAGACGAAGAACGTGAAATAGACAAGAAAAGATCTTAATAGAACGCTATTCTTCCTGCATGAAAATCAGTCAAAACAAATTAAATTGTAATAAAATGATAAAATGGATGATGGGACGAGGTGATAATTGATGATATAAAAACCGATTATGACCTCAAGACTAACTTCACTAGAGTTAATATTGACTAATGAATAAATGATGCATGATAATAGGAATATTTTATGATACTTTATAATAATGAGTATTAATTACCAAAAATTAACAATAATAAATATAATTATGACTAATAATGATTACTAATGATACTATCTTAACAATTACAAAAAGGCTGATGAGTGATGAGTAACGATAGTTACCTAACTAATGATTAGATGATATCATTTAATGAAGATATAAATAAAAAATAATGGATTGGTGATAGTAACAATTAACTAACAATAATGATAAACAATAATAACAGAACAATATAGCAATCACTAGACAAATAAAAAATTTGATAAATTTATAAAAAAATATGAAGATAATAATCCAATTATTAGTTAAATAAATAAACTTGTGAGGAACTCACTTACTTAATAAGGATAAGTAAGAGACCAGAAAAAATCATAAAAATTGAGTCATTATTAATCCAACAAACGAATAAATTACCACAAACTGGAGAATTGAAAAAAGCCGCAGGGTATAAGAGTAAGGAAAAAATTAATGAAAGTGGAGGAGAAAAGAAAATATAGTAAGATTAGGAGATAACAAAATTAGGCTGATAAGTGGAAGGGTTCTTCTCGTTCGCTCACAGAAGTACACTTCATATGCTTTAAAGTATTTGATTAATCAATTAGACGGCGATTATATGATATTCTATAAGGCAGAGTAGATATGACAAGGAGGGCGCATTGAGAGGGGAGAGGATGAGAGAGTGACAATGGGATGAATATGGAAAAAAAGGAGAGTCAGGGAAGTGAGGGAAGGTTGATGATGGGACCTGGAGGATAGGGAAAGTTGAGGCAAGGATTAGCGATGAGGGATATAAGTGAGAGGATGGTGTCATTTGTGAGAGTGAGAGTCATTAGTGGCCAAGGATGAGAGTTATGAGTAGACGGGCAGTGAGACAGTATGACTTCGTAGACTGCGTGCTAACGTCTTATCTGATGGACTGGAATTGGCGGGTAAGGAGGGAGGGAACATAGGGAGATCGGAGGTGAACAGGTATCGAGTGCGAGAAAGTGGAGAGGTAGAGGCGCAAAGGTACCGTGGGAACGGGAGAGCGAGAGAGGGGACGGGATGGGAGAGGAATAGAGAGAGGGACGGAGAGAGGTGGAGAAGAGGAGGGGGAAGGGAATGATGGAGGGTTGATCGGATACTATTTCAGCGATAAAAATAGACAGAAGCACGATATTGGTAGCTCTATGAGGGAGAAGAGGGAAGATAGAGGTGGAATAAAAGGGATGGGAGGAGATATCGCTACGAAGAAACTTTTAGGGTGGAAAAGATAGATAGAACGGAAGAGAAGAGCAAAGGAAAGGGAAAAAGAAGAGAGTTAAGAGAAGACGAGGAAGAGAGAAGTGGGAAGGGAGAAAAGAAGGAAGAGAGGAGAAAGGGGGAAGCGGTGACCGTAGATGAGTGAAAGTTCGGTGGAAAATGACTAGTGGGAGGGAGAAGTGGAGGACAAGTGGAGGGCAAGGTGTGAGACAATTAAACGCGACTGTAATATGAGAGACGATTTTCACCTCTGTAATAGAAACTCGTACTTAAATTAAGTCATTAACACTAATCTTTTATGAAAATTTACCATTAACTGAAATGCGATATTGGTAGCTCGAAAAATATATATATATTCGCGAACAATATTGGATAAGGGTCGATTTAAATAAATCGATGGTTATAGCAAATGACGTAAATATATTAAAATTAGATGTTCACAGGTACCAGATGACTATGAAAATGAAAGGGAACAATATATGAAAACCAGAATAAATCCGTACATTATATCTTAGCAAATTACACGCCGTTAACCAGCGATACAAGTTCGTTTAGTTTACAAAATTATAAATTAGTAAAAAACCTGGTATAAATCACTCCGCTATAATGCACAGAGAGAGAAGACAACCGATTTAATGAGGAATAAACGATGATAATACAAATCGATATACCGGGTGAGCACTCGGCGCGAGAGTAAGCACTGAAATAAGTGAGATCAGTAAAACCTTGGAGATAAGAGGATATTTCTTCGCTATGCAGGACCAGTGGCAATTTCAGGATCCTCTGTAACTTGTCGAACATAATATTGTCTCTTAAGCGCGTTAACGGAATGCTTTGACATTTCATAAAGCGGACCAAGAAATAGAATATAGAGTAGACAGGCTCGCTTTGTTTGAGAGTGACAAAACAACTCGAGGGCTGGGATGAACAATGGTTGGTAAAGGATATTTATAATATGAGTGTATATAATAGAACTCAAATAATGCCTCGGGAAGATGAATAATACCATATACAATGAAATCAGTAAAAGAAATTTAGTTATAGCTAGATCTGATAAGTTATGTATAGTGTGTAAGGTGAAGCGCTCATATATCTTATAGTAATAGGTAAGTATTGTACGTGATATATATATAATGAGGGATGCGCGGCCTCATGTAGTTATGTATAGGCCCCACGACGACGAGCGACACAGCCACGGGACATCACTGCACCGACTCGCACGAGCAGGACACACGACGACACACACCAATACATACTGCGTTCTACTGTATATTGATATGATACATAGTCAGTATAATAACTCTACTGTGGTATAGTACTTTAGTACATTGAGCTGTATAGTAATGATAGCATACTGACAACTCATACGATACAGAATTCATATCCTATTATTAGTGTATATTCTCTCTCGGATAAGCTAGAGAATGCATTACTAAGTTAATACGTATTATAAGATATAAATGCTTAGAACAGCATATGACATTCCACACTATTACAACACACAGCACACACCCTACACACACACACACCACACACATGCACAGACACAGGCACTACAGCCACATCATCACAATCACACATGCACATCACACAGCACACCACAGGCAACACACATCACACACAACACCACCACACACCACACAGCACACACGACAAACACATCACACACCTGATATTAGGTGATGTGTGTGATTGCGAATAATATATACATAACTATATATATGATAGATGTGTATTAATGACAGGTTTATAAAATAGAGGATGGAGAGCATGGTAGGCTCATACACCTGTGCGATTATATGTAAAGTGCATACATCTTATTCACATGCCTACATTTTATAAGTATAGATAGATGATTGGTAACTAATAGCTAACATATGGGAAGTGAATGTAGATATATATATATAGTAATATATAATATTAATATAATAAGATGTGAACTGCAGTTTTGTGTGCGCGTAGGCGTGGTGTGTGGTCGAAGATATTCGATCCGTGTGATGTATAGTGACTGGTGTAGTGTGTGTGTGGTGTGTGGGTGTAATTATGACTATATTACAATAAAAGATAGCGTGTGTGCTGTGTGTGTGTGTTGTGTGTGTGTGCGTGTGTGATGTGTGTGTGTGTGATATTGATGCATGGTTAGTGTGTGTGTGTGTGTTGTGTGTGTTGTATGTGTGGGTGTGTATTAATGTGTTGTCGTTTAGTGTGTGTAGTGTGTGTTCCAGAATGATGTGTGTTGTGTGTGTGTTGGTGTCCATCGTATGTTATTTGATACTTTATGAATGT